CAGAGATGAGGGGCTGCCCATGCAGAGAGTTGTAGTCCATGTTAAGGACCTTGATCTTGAAGCTGAAGCCATTGGTGGCTTAAAGCATAGAAAAGGTCCTCAGATGTCCTGCAGTAAAAATGCTGGGTTCAGCTTGCCCAACCAGTGTTTCCACATTTATTCCATGTGACACCTGATAACATCCCAGGGCCCCATACACTGGGAAATGCTCTGGTTTACTTCGTTTAGAGCAAGTGTTGCTGTAGGCAGAAACTTATGCAGCTGGAAGCTTCCAATCTTTTAGTTATGGAAGGGAGAGCCACGCTACCTGCTACTCAGAACTAAGAGCCAAATAAGCATAGATGTTGCTCTCTCTCTGTCTCTCTTTCGCCCTCTCTGTGTCTGTCTCTCTCTCTTTGGTGGTACTGGGGTTTGAACTCAGGGCTTCGCACTTGCTAGCAGGTGCTCTGTTGCTTAAGCCACACCTCCAGCCCAGATGATGCTCTCTTGATGGAGGTTTGACAGTCCCTTTTGAAACTCTGCAGGCAGTAAATAGCCCAGAAGGATCCCAGTGCCTGGGAAGAGTTGGGGACCAAGGCCTTTTCATTCAGTAAGGTCTTCCCAAGACTTCCCCTCACTCAGTAGGCTTTCCTATCAACTTGATTCACTTGTATTTTTTTCTTTTCTAAACTTTGAGTAAGCTGTGCATTCAATTATATTTTTCATTTCTTTTTGAGTTTCTTGTAGCATCTAGCACAATGCCAGGAATACAAGGTGTTTAATAAACATTTGAGGAGGTCATGTTTGTGTGCTAGTTTTCTTCTTTTTGAACCAATGGTATGACTTTATTCCAGGTCTTCTATGAAGTCTGGTTGTCCCAGCCCTCCATCGTCGTTTCTGACTTTAAAAAGGGAGAGGCCATGAGAAAACTCCCATCTTGAAATTAGAAGCCTGGATTTGTGTCCTGTCTTTGCCTTTTTACCAACCATATGACCTTGAACAAGTCAAGGTCTGACTGGTCCTTCATTTTGTTATCTGTGAAATGAGATGGTGTACTAAATGATCACTAAGACAGCTTTTAGTTTTAAAACTCTAGGTCAATATTGTCCAATATGGTATCCACTAAACTACCTGTGGCTACTGAGTGCTTCAAACGTGGCTGGTCCAGACTGACAAGTAATACATAGTGGATTTCAAAACAAGAGTATCAAATATCTCAGTAATTTTTATATTGGCAACATGTTGAAACAACAATATTTTGAATATATTGCCTTAAATAAAATTTATCATGGGCTGAATACGTTCTTCTCTCAATTCATAGTTTGAAGTCCCAGTGTGATGGTTGTAGGAGATTGGGTCTTGGGAGGTGCTCAAGTTTAGATGAAGTCATGAAGGTGAGACCTATGATAGAATTAGGATCTTTATTAGAAGAGACACCAGTGCTTTTTCTTTCCTGGCCATGTGAAGATACAGTGAGAAGGCAGCTATCCAGAAGCCAGGAAAAGGACCCTCACCAGAACCTGACTTCATTGGCACACTGATCTTGGACTTCTAGCTTCCAGAACTGTGAGAAAAATAAAACTCTTGCTGTTAAAGACACTCAGTGGATAGTGTTTTGTCATGGCAGCTCCACCTGACTAAGTCATGTGACCTGTGTTATATTTCTATTGGATAGCACTGGCGTAGATATCAGGAACTTGCTGGGGATATAGCTTAGTGGTTTAGTGTTTGCCTCGCATTCAGGAGGCCCTGAGTTCAATCCCCGGTACCACCAAAAAATAAATAAATAAATAAATTTTACTACTGGTGTGGCTCAAATGGTAGAGCACCTGTTTAGCAAGCACCAGGCCCTGAGTTCAACCCTCAGTTCTGCCAAAAAAAAAAAAAATTAATAAGATATCAGGAACTCCTACCTACCAGCCTTTCAGCACTTTTAACTTTTTGCATTGTGTCTGTGAGAGCAGGAATGGTCTTTGGAATATTCCTTGAGACACTCAGCCCAGTGTTTCCTCCTAGTGGCTGCTTAGTATCTGACAATTATATCATTTTCTTAGATGTAAGCCATTCCCGTAGTCTCTGGATAATTTATGTTATAGAGGAACTCATTAAGAGGATATTGAGTAGCAACTGGAATCTCTGCAGGACAGAAGAACCAGGCTTGGAGCAGATCACAATGCTCCACTCCCCTCTGCAGACTAGTCAAGTGCAGACTCCACTGCTGTCCCAGAGAAGCAGAGGGAGCTGCCCATTGACAGAGAGGAGGAGGCATGTGCTTTCAGCCTCACTAGCTTCTAGCTCCGTCTGTTGGCTGTGTTTACCTTGGGAACCCTAGCTGCAAGGGAGGCGGGGAGAGTGAGTATTTGCTTTATAGCTCTTATCATAAGAGGGGGAATTCATTCCTCTAATTCAGGAAAGGTTTTAGATGTCGCAGTACCCAAAGGGAATGACTGGAGTCCTTTACCAAGCACAAAGTCCATAAACTGGCAATTTTGGCTACAACACAATAGAAGTTTATGGTGAGGTGGCTTTGCTGAAAATTCCTCCACACAGGAGGCTCCTCAGATCTCCTTGTGGTTTTTTGGAAGATATGAAGAATAACAATTGTTATGCTAATGCTATGATTATAATTTCATTATGTCCTTTGAAACTTCTCACATGGTATTTTAATATGGAGACACAGGAGGGCACTCTAACCAACCAGCAATAAAACTTAAACGGTTTCTTCATAGTGGTGGTAGTTTTAAAAAAATGGATGTCAATTTTATTGAACCTTTTTTTTTGGTTTGTTTGTTTTTGTTTTTTGTTTTCCTGGATAGGATAACTTTGCAGAATATCTACTTCCCCCAGGGTGTCTCACCTGTGACAAAAATCTCCAAGACACACCCTGCAAATTGTCCAGTTAATGCTATTGGGACAATGGCTGTGAAAAACTCAGAACAAGAAAGGGATTTTTTTTTTTTGGCGGTGGGGGGAGGTGGGGGGATATGGTGGGGTCTTGCTTTGTTGTGCAGGCTGCCTGGAACTTTTGGGTTCGAATGATTCTCCTGCCTCCTGCCTGGGCCTCCCAAGTAGCGGTTCTCCACTGATCCCAGGTAAGGCAGAAGGGTTTTGATCATAGACTACCCCTGCCTCAGCCACTAAAGAGATGGAAACAAATGTTGCCATATTTAGAGGTCAATTGGCCAAGTCAAATCTAAAGCAGGAGAGAGAGACCCTTTTGTCTTGAGACTTCCTTTAAGCTAGCAGTCTCTTTTCGGATTTGTAAAATGGAGACAACACCTGACTTGTGTCTCTATAGTCTGCCAATGGACAGGGAGAGCGGGAGGAGGCGGGGGTAACATTTGAGGTGACATTAACCATCCCATCCAGAACACTGAGTTTTACAGCTTTGCCTCCTGTTAATGAATGCTAGCACACGCGAAGGGACAAATCGTGTTCTGCTGGCAGCTGGAGTAACGAAATAACAAGGGAAGGTCAGAACAGGACCTGCTCGCTCGGGATAGGTTTCCTCACACTGGCCCCTCAAGCTGGACCACAAACGCTAGAGAAAAAGGGGCTCGGGGCTGCTGCGGGGTTCTGTTCTCCAGGTAGGGGTGGGACCGGTTCCCGGCAACCGCGGGGTTACTTGCGGTCAAGGGTGCCGCTTTCTCCGGCTGGAAGGAGGCTGGATGGCGGTGTGCATCCCTGCCGCGGCGGGTTCCGGTTCTTCGCGGCTCTCAGCCTTCAAAAGCTTTGATGCGCAGCTGCTCCGCTGCGGTTCCCGGCTCAGACCCCGCTTCCCTGCGCGGGACGCAGACTCCGGACCAAGGTCTTGGGCGCTACCGGCTCTCAGTAGCGGGACCCAAATCAAAAGAGAGGAGAGAGGCAAAATGATGGACTGAAGGGCGGAAGAAGGTGCATGATTTCGCTCACCAGGTAGTTACAGAGTATCCGCGGAGGCTGGGCCACGCGTCTTGCGACCCTCTTCATTGTTCCCTGAGGGAAGGGTCGTTCCGAATGGTAGGAGAGCACCTGCTACATGCCCCGCGCTGTCTTAAGCGCTTTCCTACGCGGGGTATTAATTTTCCCAAGATCCCTAAGTGGTAGGAACTGTTATCACTAGCGTATTGCAGACCAGGGAATGGCCTTGGGGAAGTTGGGTGGCTTGCCCGGAGTTGTGCAGCTAGTGGTGGAATTGCCTCTGAGAAGGGTTTATGTGACCCTGAAGCGCGGGCCGCAGCCCACAGTCCATTGTCCAATCACGCTGTGTGCACCTGTTGCGGCCCTCGCAGGGCGAGAGGGGAGGGAAAGGAGAAGGATCCAGGGAAAGATCAGATGGCTCTCCCCCCTTCCGACCCTCGGTTCGAGGCGCCGAGAGATCATCCGGCGCGGGATAGCTTTGCACCTTGGAGAGGATGACCTCCCTTTTCCCGAGATCGCGTCCCCAGGGGGCGCACGGTTTCGGAGCAGAGTCCTTGGAGCGATAGGGGTGAGTGGAGGGTCTGGGTGAGTGGAGGGTCTGGATGTCTGGGAGGGGGGGAAGGCCCTAGGGGACAGTAGTGATGGTAGGAGTCGTGGCAGTCTGCTGAGCCCTCCAGAGAGGAAGAGAAGCCGCGTGTGCGGGCGTCCACGCGGGTGGGTGGGTGTGCGGCGCTTTCATTCAAATTTTTGGGAGTCTCGTCAGCGAAGGTGTGACCAATCAGAGTCGAGAGAGGGGAATAAATTATGCAAATAGCCATCTGGCGATGGGTCAGATGACTCGGATACTTTTAAAAACTACCTCGCCAGGAGCTCTCGGGGTGACAGCGGCGAGCCCTGGCGTCCCGGAGGCTCTGGACGAGGGCAGGTCTAGTTCTGGATCACGGACCTCCACGCACTCCTCCCACGCGCGGGCAGCCAAGTGTTCAATTTCCACCTCCTCCTCCAGCCGTCTAACTCATCACCTTCTTCTACCCACTGCTAGTGTTACTAGCCCGGGAGGTGGAGGCAGAATTTTTTTTTTTTTTTAAAACCCTCGTTTCGGGGGAGGGGGCGTGGCGAGGAAGGATGAGAAAGTCCGTGTCTCTGTTCTGCTTCTGGAGCATCTATTGTTGCTTTGCGGCGGGAAGCCACACACCCATGGGTCCCGAGGGACAGCTGGAAGGTAACGTGCAGCGCGCTTATTATTACTGTCCTCCCCACCTCCTTTCTGTGCTGGGCCCCCTCTGTCCTCCTAACTCTTCCTCGGTCCCTTCTTTTGCCTGCTACACCCTTCCTCCGTCCCCACTTCGCTGTTCATTTTCTTTCCCCTCCTCAGCCTTGGATGGAGGCCACTTGTTTCTGGCGCTTCATCCCAGAGGCAACAGGTGGGCAGGGTGCACGCTCTTGCGCCCTCTCTCTTCCCCCTCCCTCTTCCCTTGTACGGTTCCCTTAATCGGTGCTGTCCAGCCAGCTGAGTTGCCTGTCGCCAGGACTTACACGTTCTGTGTTAAATTGTGTCTTGTCTTTGGAAATTGGAGAGACCAGAGGTTGTCTCTGGTCCAAAGACCTGGGCCTTTATCCTGGCCCAGGTGTTCTGAAAGTTCAAGTGACAAGGTAGCTGGCTTTGGCTTGAGGAGTGCTTATAAGGAACATCTGGTTGGGAACTTGGTCTGAGAAGCAGCCTGGCAGGTTCATTCCTCTTGGTTGTCAACCTCTTCCTCACCAACGCTCTTCCTTCCCCACTCTTCCCCTTCCTCCTCCTAGCTTCCAGGTTTACTTCCTTCTCAGTTCTGTAGGGAAGTTTCTTCCATTGGACGCAACTTACCCTGGCAGAGTGAGAGTAGGGTCACCCAGAGCCAGCTAGTTAAGAGATGGAAGGGCTGGAGAGCCCCTAAACCCAGTCCCAATGTTGCATGCAGTCTGCAGAGGTGGCCCACGTGCTTTTCGTCTATGTTAAAGTTGAATGAATGGGAAAGCCTAGCGTTAGCTTGTGCTAACTAGAAGCATGACTGGGGTAGGTCCCATCTCTTCTTCCTCTGCTGAAATGTACTCAAGTTCCTTCCACCTTCCGGGTTCACTGCTTCTGAGTACAGGGGGATCATCTCATTCATTTGAAAAGGAATTGCCAGGCACTCCTTCAGGAGCTGGGAAGACAGCAGGGAACAGATGACAGTCCCTAACTTACACGTGGTGATGGGAAGACAGACAGTGAACTAAGAAAACTAGGTAGTGTGCTTCAGGGTATGGAGGAAAAGAGGGCAAAGGAGGAAGGTGTAGTGTCCTGGGGCGGGGGAGGTGGTGCACTTTAATGTGTGGTTAAGGAAGCCTTTCTGAGAACCTGGCCCTTGAGCAAAGAGCCACAGGCTCTGGGTGAAGAACAATCATATACCCCAGAGGCTAAAGTGACTGACCCAGAGTTGCAAGAATGAAACCAGAGAACTGTGGGTCAGAGCAAGGCAGATGCCAAGGTGAACCTTCTTTGTGTATGTGCAGGTTTATCCACGTGTGCCTCAGGAGACCAGCAGACCCTGTTTCTCCTCAGCTTCCCCATCTGCTCTGGGTGTGGATGGCTTTCTGACGGAAAGTTGGGGAGCTGTCGAACTAGTTATGTGTGTGGCTCAAGTTTCTGCTGCTTAGGGCTTCCATTCATTCTTTTCATGAACGTTAACTTGAGTTCTGCTCATAAGCATTTAGCTGCATTCTCTGGAACCTTATCCTTCTTACATCTGGTATGTTTCTCTCCCATCCTTTGTCCCTTTCCCCCCATGACTATGGTCTTTCTTTCCATGATTCTCTTTGTTTCTGGTTTTTTGTGGGGAGAGGTGGTACTGGGGTTTAAACTGACTTCATTTCTGCTATGTACACGTTCTACTGTCTGAGCCATACCTCCAACCCTTCCTTAACCCTTCCATGAATTAAGCTCGCAGATGCTCATTTGGCATCTCCCCCTGAGTGCTGGTGACAGGAGCGTATCCTTGCCATTGTGAAGTGGTGTTTACCAGAATGACTGAAAGAGTGCCGGCGAGGGTCTGTGGATGACCATTGAAAATAGTGTGGGGATGACACTATTGATGCCTCGTGTTACCTGGTCGTTGAGACCATCAGCCTCAATGATGGTCAGGCTTTGGGAACAGGATGTCTCCTAAGCAGCACTGTGTGTTAGCAGTGGAGCTGGTAGTGTGGCCTTGCTGCTCCCAGAAGTTTCTCCATGGCTTCAGTCATTCTTTTAACAAACTGGGTGAATGCCTGGTGTCTGTCTGCACTGCCGGGCCTTGTGAGCATGAGGTCTTTGAAGTTAAGTGCTGGAGTTGAGTTGGGAGTGCCCTGGAAAGCCCTTTGTACGGGTCAACAGTCTCTTACCTGCAATTGCAAAATCCAAAATCTCTCAAAATTGGAAAATTTGTCAGGTCTTGTTTGGCAGCAAGACCTGGCCTTACCTGATCTGAACTCATCTGGGAATAATAACTGGCCTGAGGTGGTGGGAAGCTATTTGGTTTTTTGTTTGTTTCATCTTTTTTTAATTTTTTTCTTTTAATTTTTAAAATTATTTTTGTACTGAGGGTACATTGTTTCATTTACAAAAGTTCTTACAATATGTCATAGTTTAAGTCACCTCCTTTATCATTCTGGGAGGCTATTTTTAATCTTCATGTTTGCAATAGTCCTGTGTTTCTCTGAAGAAATACTAATGCACTTGACATCACAGACCCACTGGGAGGGTTATGTAATATGTGGCATATGTTCCAGAATGCCTTTCTAAAATATGAAAATTTGTGAATTCTGAAACTTACCTGCTCCCAAGCAAATTGGGAAGAGAACTGAGGACCCATACTCCAGAAGTAGGAATTTGAGGGAAAGGAAGGAGAAGTTTGGTAGGGAGCAATAGATAAAAGCAAGAGAGGTACCTATGTATTTCAGCCACAGTAATTAAAAGTAATTACTCATTAAACATAGATGAGATGTCTAATTTATGATGTCTAACTTATAATATCTTTATGATTTTCCTGAAGGAGAAGAGGGAATACTCAGAACATATAATTTGCTAAAGATGAAACTCCAACTAGACCCTAGATCTCTTGCTCCTCTAGCCACTAGAAGCACTTATGCTGTGTTCTTCCTCCCCAGATGAGCCTCACAAATCCAAGGAGGTACAAGATGCCACTAAACCCTCGGTGAGGTTTAACCTCCGCACCTCTAAGGACCCAGAACACGAAGGATGCTACCTTTCCCTTGGCCACAACCGAGTCTTAGAAGACTGTGGTTTCAACATGACAGCCAAAACCTTTTTCATCATTCACGGATGGACGGTGAGCCCGGGGTGGGAGCTCTGTGGCTTTATACAAGATTTGCTTCCCTTTGTTTTGGTCAATTAAAAAGAATACTGGTGTTTCCAGATTCCAAATGCTCTCCCCCCTTTTCCTTGTGGGCTGCTTGTGTTTTAGACAGCTGTGAAGAATGTAATGGTTCTTTGCAGAGAGGACAATCTGGACTCCAGCAGGGTGGCGTTTAGTGCTGGCACACAACGGGCTTTCAGAAAGTGGCTCTCCTGAGGGCAGCAGCCCAGCTCCACTGGCTCTGAAGGACCTTCTAATTACACTTAATTACATTGGTCAACCGCTGCCTGGAGGGGGCCATCCTGCAATGTAAGAGCTGAGCTGAGCTGAAGCAACTTGACTAGCTCAGAGGATCTGGGAGGGGGCCAGCTGGCCTGGATGGCTGGCTGCTGTTGGCATGGTGCCCTCCTGTTTGCATAGAGATGGCCCCGTTTAAAGGCACTGTGGCTCTTTATGTGCCCTAGCTGAGCAATTCCCATTGAAAAGTCCATGACAAACTTCAACAAAAAAAGGGCTTTAGTGCTCAGCCCAGAAGCTCTTGGGCAGCAAGGGATTTATTCATTCATATAATGACAGTCTGAAGGAAAATGGCGCTATTAAGTGAGCAGGTTTCTGCCTGGGCTAATTGGGAGGGGGACATTCTTCCTCTTAATGATGAGATATTCATATGTGTTACATTCTTTCTGCAACTTTAGGTCTATCACCAACAGTTGGGGTTGGGGCTGGGAAGGGTAGGAGCCTACCTTCCTAATGTGAATAACAGAGTGATTTAAGGGCCTGTCCATCTGTCCTCATTCCATACCCTGCAGTTGGAATCATGCATTTGAACCTTTTTAAGGCCCTCCTATCAAAATGCAAATACAACATGCAACTAACAAATGGAGTGCATTCCAGAAAGTTCTTTTGTAATGTGTTTGGAACTTGGAACAGCCGTTTCCCATAGAAGCAAGATTGTAAATAGTGTTTGGATTCCCAGGCTAGGCACAGAAAAATCCATTTATTTGGTAATATACTTGTGGATAGGTTTACAACTGGTCACCATTTATAACTGTTGCTGTGGGAAAATGTGTTCTGAGTTCTAATTTGGGATTCCAAGGATGGATTTTCCCTACTCTGGGGTCAAGAGAGATGGCAGAGATGGGTTTTGGAAAGGAGTCATTCATTAACTCTTTGTTTGCCTAGGCGACAGCATCTCCCTGCATCTCTAAGGGAAGAGCTAATTCTCTAAGGCAACCCTCCCCAGCTGCCTTTGAAGGATGGACCAGGCCACTTGCCTGACAGTGACAGGAAGTCAGAATAACCGCCTGTAGCATCACTACCAATACCTATGTTATAGATAGCTCTGAAAGTTTTGGTGGGAAAAACTGGGGATTTAAGGAGCACTGGAAGAAAATACCTATGTAGCAATTCTGCCTCTGGCTGGTCCTGCTCATGTGCAAACATTTGGTTCCTGAGCAGCCAGTGTGGAGGTTCTAAAATCAAATGGGAGAGGGTCATGGGATGGAATTCCATATTCATTGGGGTCTGTGAGGCCCAGGAGAATTTCTTAAAAAGTTTCCTCTTTTGTAGATGAGTGGCATACTTGAAAACTGGCTGCACAAACTTGTATCAGCCCTGCAGATGAGAGAGAAAGATGCCAACGTAGTGGTGGTTGACTGGCTGCCCCTGGCTCACCAGCTGTACACAGATGCAGTCAATAACACCAGAGTGGTGGGACACAACGTGGCAAGGATGCTTGACTGGCTACAGGTAAGTGAGGAGGAAAGGAAGTCATCTCTCTTATGAGCAAGATCTTAAAACGCAAATATCCTCAAGCAAAGCAGACCACATGTGTTCTCTCCAACTTCCGAGCTCTGATCAAAATCTTTGTTATTTATTTATTTTTTTTGTGCTGAATTAGGCATTGCATGCAATCCTTGAAAACTGAGACTTTTAGAGTCTTTGAATTATTGCTAAATCTCTAGATTTTTCTTGTTACTTTATTTGCTATAAGAAAATTTGCCTTATGGGTTGTTACTTGCTGATCTTAGAAGCTGATCCCCTTTGGTTGGTTGGGGATGGCTGGGAGCCAGGACAGGCTTACAATCTTAAATAGCTACGAAATCTGCTCTTACAGTGTGGCTATGCTAAGGGTGGGAAGGAGGGTGGTTCAAATAAATGCAGCTTATTACCTCATTTAAAATATTAAGTGTGTAGAACAGATTTTGAGGTCATGTATTTGCTTTTTAGAGATTAATGATTTGCCTGAGACTAGTGGTGCAGGGGTGCACTAGCAAGGTGACCCTAGGGTTGGGGCAATTCCAGCCTGACTTTGCTTTTACCTGTGGAATCTGATGAATCCAGAGTTCTGGGCAAGATTCCTTGCCTAAGTTGCTTTAGAGTTTGGTTCCCGAACCAGGGGAGTCAAAGCCCCACCACCTCAGCCCCCACTAGGCCCACCAGCTGAGTGCTCAGGAAGGGGGTACAGCTCAACTCTGGTGTTTCAGGTGGGCTTATGGTGGGGAGGTCAGCAGCTCCTGGGGGCAGAGTAGAGATCAAAGGCCTAGGAGAGCAGTCAGGGAGCAGCAGGCTGCTGCAGGCTGTGGCTGGCACTTCCCTCTACAATCAGTGTGGTATCTTTGACCTCTACACTCCCTCTTTGCCCCCTAGATACTGCCAAAAAGAATGGAAGACATGTAAAGAACATGTGGGGAACAGTCAGGCGTGCAGCATGTAGTCACATCCTCTACCATGCCCCCTTGGCATTTGAAGTGCCACCAAGTCCTTTAGCCCTCCTGTCCCTGGCTGTGACCCGTGCATATTTTATGACCAACAATGTCGATGATACTCTGGGAGTCTCTGTCCCTATGGCCCCGTGACTCCTCCTTTGTCATGATGGACTTATGAAATTGTTGGTGGCCCGAAGGGCTCAGGACTACATTCTTCAGCTCACACACTTTGGTGACTTCCTGCAGGGGGAGGATGACTTTTCTCTCGGGAACGTTCACTTAATTGGCTATAGCCTTGGAGCACATGTGGCTGGGTATGCTGGCAACTTCGTGAAAGGAACAGTGGGCAGGATCACAGGTAAGCTTCTCCTCCAGGACCACCAGCTAGCCTCCTAAGCCCCCTTGGCTACTCTCCAGCCTGGGTGTTCTGAACTGGATGGAGTGCTTCCTAATGATGTTGCTTGAGTGAGTTGTACGGGGCTATCTCTGAAAGGACCCTGGGGGGCATCCAAACCAGAGCTTTCCAAATGTTCTTTTTAATCACAGAACCCTTTTTTCAAATTGAACTTGTGTGGGGTGCTCCTATACAAAACAGATAGATGGAGATATTTTTGTTGAAGATGGGTTTTGGTAGCCTTGCCTTTTGGGGCTTCCCTGGAGGAATCTCAGGCTCTCAGAGTCTAGGGAATAGTTTGGAAACCACTGGTTTAGTCCAAAGGTGAGGAATTAGTCAGAGGTGAGATCCTTACCCAGGGCAAATAGCTAAGAACTAAAGAGCCAGGATGGAGTTTTGACTTCCAAACTTCTGGGTTTCTATTTCATTACTCTCTCTGATGTTAAAGAAGCATATTTATTAACTATACTTACCTGTTTAGAATGAGTGTTGAACTTTGTAATTTTTCTGGCAGAACTGGGGCTCGAACTCCGGGGCTTATGCTTGCTAGGCAGGCATACTTGAGCCCCATCCCTAGCCCTTGAACTTTGTAATTAAAGAGACTTTTCTGATATTGGTATTTGGGTACCCATAGAAAAAAATTAAGTTTTCCATCCTGACAACTGAATCACAGTTAGCTTTTAATGTTAGAGTTTGGGTTAAATCATTTAATGATTGTGAAAAGTGTGAAAGACTTTTTTTTTCCATTTTGGGGCTCTTCAGATACATAAGTGTTTCGTCTTCACTAAAATTAAATGTATGGCCCCATCCTTTTCCTTCCTTCCCACATTCTTTTACATGGATTCATCTCCAGTTTTCCCTTCACCTCCCAGATACTACTGGTGGTATCTTAGACTGTTTTCTGTTGCTATAATTGAATAGCACAGACTACATCATTTATAAAGAATAGAAGTTTATTTAGCTTCTTGGGTCTGGTAGGGGTCTCCTTGCTGCATGGAGGGGCACATGATGAGACAGAACAGACATGTTACCTTTGGGTCTCTGTTTCCCTTACAGAGCCAATAATGTCATCACAGGGACCCTACCCCATGACCTCATCTGATCCTAATAACCTCCCACAGGCACCACCCCAAACACCATTAACAGATGAATTTGAGGATTAAATTTCCAAATATGAATTTTTGAGCCACATTTAAATCATTTGACTCATTTCTTTCCCTGTGGTGTTGTCATTTTATGACAGGATGCAGGCAGAAAGGAATCCTTAGATAAAGAATGGTTTAGTAAGGTATTCACAAAATGAGCTGGCAGGGTAGGTTTTAAACAAATAATCTGAGGTTTTATTGACCCTCTTCTGTTGCTGTCTCTGGGCTTACATGAAATATGTGTGTGCACACACAGACATATGCACACACATTTCTTTAGAGCCAGTGATTCCATTCAGCAAAGCTTGAGAGCTTTGGTTCTGATTTCCAAGATGGCAGGGCTTGAGTGTCCACAGTGGACTGTGATTGTGTGGCCAGCCCCAATTTCTCCTTAATCCACCCACAAAAAGCTGCTCTACCCACAGCCACTCTGGGTCCTGCTGTCTGAGTACCTCTGCCCAGCCCCTGAGTGAGAGGCTTCACGTTCTAGAGCTAGGCCAGCCCAGTGCAAACTTGGCACTCACACAGTCCCTACCAGGGTCAAGGCCCAGATGTCCTTGGCAACAAGGACAAACTGCAGATCTTGTCTTTCCCTGTTTCTAAATCTGAAATGAGGCAGTGCTAGCGAGGGAGCTTTCCAGTTCTTTCCTCCTGCTCATTTGGATGGCAGCTGCTGATGTGAAGGCTTCTTGCCTATGGCCAGCTGTGGGGCTTAAAGAATGCTAACCAGTGGTGCATGGAACAGCTGCATATCTTGAGGGAAGCCCCTTTCCTCTGGCTCTCTGTGGAGCATGGGCTGACCTCTTTCTGGCTGCCCAGCAGCACCTCAGGTGGTATTTGACAAACCGGCCCACACTGTTGAGCCTGTCTGTTGGGGGAGGCTGTCTCCTTTGTTCTTCCTTTCATTGGTAGACTTCATATGGGCTTGTGAACCAGGGGGTCCTGACTGGTAAGAGGATGGCCCTTGTAGCTTATGTGGAGTCCTCAGGCCAGTGATGCTACTGTTCAGAGGCCACCACAGGGTCCTTAGCCTGGCGTCTGCAAGAAGGTACCTGTACCCAAGTCTTGCTTGGGCCAGAGAGTGTAAACTGGGGCTTGCTGGAGTTACCCACTTGGACTTCTGAGGGAAGTTTGTTAGTGGCTAGTGAAGAGATCATATATTTCTCTCTCTTTGTACTGAGGTTTAGATTCAGGACTTTGTGCCTGCTACAAAATGTCTGTAGGACAGAGAGCATTTATTTCTAATTGAACCTGTGTCTAGTTAGTTATAGACAACTAAGCAAGCAGGTTGATTCATTCCAGAAACAGGGATGAAGTGTCCACTGTATGCAGGCTCTGGGTTACATCAAGTACCTCAAGCACACTTACTTGATGGCTAAGTGACAATGTACTTCATACGGATTTCTAAGCCACCTAGCAATCCTGTACCTTTAACAAATGGAGAAAGAAGACTCAGTGATTAAATAATAAGCCCAACATCCTGTGCCCTGTGAGTAGCAGAGCTGGGATTCAAGCCCAAGCTGCCAGACTCCTGTGTCTGCCCCCAACCACTGAGCCATGTTGCCTCTCCTCTGGATGTACAGATAAAAAGTAGAGTAGAAAGAAAATTGTGTTACTTTTCCCCTTAGTCCATGGACCACAGATGTGCATGAGGGACAGTCTGAGCAGGGGGCCAGCCTCAGTCTGGGTAGGTGCTGGCCTGTGAGACCCCATCAGCTGCTGGCATTCCTCCCACGCAGCTTGGTTTCCATAGTGCTGTCTGGTGAGGACTTTTGTTCACACCAAGCAAAGAGCCTCTCTCATATTGGTTGCAAAGCAGAATGTTTCTCTCCTTTTCTTTTTCCTTTTATTGCACATGGTGAGAGGCACGGAGAGGCTGCTTATGTCAGTACTGTGGTCCTTGTACCCTCTAACATGGATCTTTGTGAACTGTTCTGGAAGGGCACACTTGTGTGCTACCTTTCTTTTCAGTCCTGGGCTAGGGATGAGCCCCCAAGCAGCTCCCTTTCTGCCTTGGTCATCCATAAAACCACTTAAATATCTTCTGGAAACTGGTTTCATCCTCAACCAATCTTATGAGTCCTATAAGTTGACTCTTTGCTCTAGTCAGTAGCTCTGCCTTCTGTGTATCCTAAAATTAACTTCTGCTTCCCTGTGTTCCCTGGTTCTCTGTGCTGGACAACACAGCTATGGTACACATCTCCTTAGTTCTTGGACACATTGCCTCTTGGCCTTGGTCTTTTTTCTCCTCTCCTTTCCCTTGCTCTCCCCTCCTCTCCCCCTTTCCCTTTCTCTTTCCCTTTCCCTTTCCCTTTCCTTTCCTTCCTCCTTCTCTTTAGATTATATCTTGCTATGTAGCCCAGGCCAGCCTTGAACTCATGATCCTCTTGAGTGCTGGGATTATAGCAAGCACCATCGTGTCTGATATATACTGGGTTTCTCAGCCTGAGCACTACTGATATGTGGGGCCAGGAGATGTTTTTGCTGTGTGTGCCTGGAAGAGGGTTGTCTTGTGCCTGTAGGATATTTAACTCTATCCCTGGCTTGTCCCCACTACATCCCCCACAACTGTGACATCCAAAATGTCTTCAGATATCACCAAATGTCCCCCAAGGGGCAAACTCTCTCCCAGTGGCTAACCATGATTCTAAACTAAACATAGCCTTTCCTCTACTGCACATCTCATTCCTTGACTTTCTCCAGGTCATCTCTGCATGTCTGTAGGACAGAGAGCCTTCCTGGTTGGGAGGAATCCAGTTCCTAGACTCACTTGCACTTGACATTGGTACCTAATGTCGACATTACTTGATCTCTTAATATCTTACATGAACTGGATGAATTCAAGTGTCCAGGTTCCATTTCATAATGACACTGAAGATTTTCAATATCTGGTCCACACACCACTGACTTTTAGGGTCACCTGGGGAACCAATCTTTGTTTCTGGATTCCACACCTGAACTTACTCATTATGGTCTCTGGGAAGTCAGGGAGTTGGAAAGGTACATTTCCATTTTACATTCTTTTTTTGGAATGGTTTTACATTTATGTGGCTTAGAATTGGAAGGCAGTAGAAATTCTGTCTTATTGCTGTGGTTAGCTTCCCAGTCCCTTCCCTACCTGCCCCACCAGTGCATCTACCCACAGATACTCCAATGCAGAGAATTCTGTGTTCATGTGTGTTTTTGTGTTATTGTTTTTTGCAGTACTGGGGCTCAAACCCAAGGCCTTGTACTTGCTTGGCAAGTGCCCTACCACTGAGCTACATCCTCAGCCCTCTTCCAGAGTTCTTTTTTCAAATAGTTACCTGGTTGAATCCAAATTCTTAACAAGCTCCCAGTATTGTTTGAACAGTTTCTGATGTGTGAACCTGCACCCTAGCCAGTGCTGCTTACCTGCTCAGAGAGTTTGGAGGCAAGAAGTTCTCACTGTGGCTGCTATACAGAGAAGTTTTAGAGGTCTGATATTCAGATTCTCACTGTACTGGAACGGAAGACACTTCTCTCTCACCATCCCATTCCTGGGCCTGACCCATAACTAAGGGAAGGGTGAGGGTAAATTCAAATACAAATTTCCCAACTTGGGGAGGCTAAGTTCTTCCAGAAGATTGGAAGCAACTTAGTTGTTCTATAAAAAAGTCTGTGAAGATTAGAGCTATGAAAGACTCCCAGTGGCAGATGATAGGGATGAATGGCTTAGATCCAGGCAACTGAGTTCTTTCTAGAACTGTGCCACTTCTGAACACCCGTGGTTCATCAGAGCTGGTGGCATTGAGAATCTTGTGACTTGTTTACTGGGCTAGCTGAGGCATTGGGACATGTGGTAGCTATGGGAGACAGTGTCAGTCCTGGGACAGTAGGGTTTGATTCCTGATGACTTGGGTAGGGTTTGATCACTCCATGATGTCTTGGGTCAATTGTATATGGAATTGGGTCCTTATTTTCTTCCATGTCTGGATTCATCGTGCTGGGCTCAGAGGGTGTCTTCATTCTGTATACTTGGATGTGACTCTTAAGACTCATTCATTGACTTGGCACACTTGACATAGTCTGTCTTGGCCTCTCCTGCTGCAGGTCTGGATCCTGCCGGGCCCATGTTTGAGGGGGCAGACATCAACAAGAGGCTGTCCCCTGATGATGCAGACTTTGTGGATGTCCTGCACACTTACACACGTTCCTTCGGTTTGAGTATTGGGATTCAGATGCCTGTGGGCCACATCGACATCTACCCCAATGGGGGTGACTTCCAGCCGGGCTGTGGATTCAACGATGTCTTGGGTTCGATTGCGTATGGGAGTGAGTTTCTAATTTACTGCTTTTAATGCCACCAGTGTCATTCTATTCATCATTGTCCCCTCCTTACTCAGTAGCCCCAACACTTTAAGGTTTTGTATTATCCTATTAACAGCTGTCCATCTGCTTTCTCATGCTTCGCGGTCATAGTCATTATTAATTTATTTTTTATGACAAATGAAATATGTACTTGTTTACTGAGAAAAAAAATCAAAATAGAATTGCATAAAGCCAATAGTATGGTTCCACTGCCTCTCCTACTTTTACCACCACCTCCCCTCCCCCGCTCACTGGAGATTGCACTCAAGGCCTCACTTGCTAGGTGGGTGCTCCACTACTCGAGCCACACCACAGCCTCTGCATTCATTCTTGCAGTGGCAGCCAGTATGAACATTTTAATTCCAGTCTTTTTTCTTTGCAAATTTGTGTAATAATATATTTTTTTCAAAACCACACTTTCTTTGCTCAGTCATAATATATTACAGATATTCTTAAACTTCAGTGCAGAGAGATTTACTAACCTTACTTTTTATTGTAGGCTGTATAATATTCTATTGCATGGACACACAGTATTTTACTTTTTGGTAACATTTTAGAAAAGCAAAACCAAGAAGCTTTTTCTATTACAATTTATCTTCTGAATACCTAAGCCTATTCTGCAGACTTGGGCTGAAGTCACTCTGCTGCTGAAACTACTATATGGCCCAGTGACCAAGCCCTGAGAGGGTTTCCCATACTGCCCTGGGTGCTAGCAGCATTTCCCAAGTCTTGGCTCTAGTTGGCTGTCTCTACACTGACACTCTGCCCTTCGAATGTCCCACTGTGTCACTTGGTAGTAAGATCTCCCAGTGTGATGAAAAATCAAGAAGTCCCACAGGGTTTAGAGTCCTGTTCACCCTGCCCTGGACAATGGGGTGATGGCATTTCTCAAGGCTGGTGGTACAAAAAGGGGTGGAGGTGGTTTGACCACATCTTTCTTAAGGTCCCAGGAGTTACTTAGACTATGGCTTTCGTCTGTGGTTGCAAGAACAATGACATATTGGCCAGAAAAATCCAAATTATACTCATAAATTCACAACGAACTGAGTGACTGAGCAAATTATCTCATCTCTGTGGGTCTTGGGGTTATAAGACATAACTGAAGGGATTGGACTAGAATGGTGTTGGCATTTCTCAAAGGGTCAGTGAGAGATATTGTAGGCTTGCAGGCCACACAGTCTGTGCGTCAACTGCTCCACTCTGCTATGCTAGTGTGAAGTCATCAGAGAATACATAAGCCAATGAATGTGGCTATGTTCCAATAAAGCTTTATTTATAATAACATGTAGCCATCCCGCCAGCCATGTTTTGATAAACCCTGGACTAGATGCCTTTTGCATTTGATGCATTTCCTGCATTTTCTAATCAAGCAGCTGCATGTATTAAGAGTTACACAAGCAAAAGCATGGCTGTCATTGATGAGGTGTATAGGAATTATTGATTGAGTGGTGTCATCACGGAGGAGAGGCTCTTCCTGCATGTTCTTTGTTTTTTCCCCTTCTCCAGCAATCACGGAGGTGGTGAAATGTGAGCACGAGAGAGCTGTACACCTCTTTGTCGACTCCCTGGTGAATCAGGACAAGCCAAGCTTTGCCTTCCAGTGCACAGACTCCAACCGCTTCAAGAAGGGAATCTGTCTCAGCTGCAGGAAGAATCGTTGTAACAGCATTGGCTACAATGTGAAAAAAATGAGAAACAAGAGGAACACCAAGATGTACCTAAAGACTCGGGCGGGCATGCCTTTCAGAGGTAACTGTGAGCCCCTCGTGCTGGGCTCCTGAGTCTTTCCCTCCTGCTTAGTACCTTGCTGTAGAACACGGCCTATCCCAGCCTGTGAGCTGCGACCAGCTCAGTTACACCAAATTACTGCAAATGAGAGCACAGTGTGCATGCCTGGGGAACATGGTTCGTTCAATCAATCGTGAGGGCTGCTTCTGTGACGGATCATTCCATGACGTAATATCAATAACTTAAATTTCTACCTTACATTTAACTTCTCAAAGCTATTTCATATTTGTTTTCTCATTTGACTTCAACAAATGTGAAGTAGGGTGAACAAAGAATCAAAATGATAGCTTACCTTTTCTTTTTTGGTGGTACTGGGGGTTTGAACTCAGGGCCTCATGCTTGCTCGGCAGGTGGTCTACCACTTGAGCCACTCCATCAGTCTGATAGCTTATGTTTTTATGCCATTAATTTAACATTAGATGTATTTAATGGATACTTTTTTGCATATGAGGATGGTAAGGCTCAAGAGGTTGATATCTTGGTCCTTAATCCAGGGTCACACAGATAGAAAGTAGTTAGGCCAAACTCTCCATACAATCTCTAACCTCCAAGTTCAGTTCCATTACACTGCACTGATGTCTTACGCCCTTGGACAGAACAAGCCCAGATGGGGGCTGGAGGCTGGGCTGGACCAAAAGGCTGTCAGTCCCTACAGCTCAGTGTGCTAGGTGATTCAGCATGGGTGAAGGATGGGGAGGCCTGAAATGACATCAGGGATCACAAATGTCTTTGCTCCTGTGTCTGCAGTTTACCACTATCAGATGAAGGTCCACATTTTCAGTTATAAGAACAAGGGAGAGCTCCAGCCCACTTTCTACGTCACTCTGTACGGCACCAATGCAGACTCCCAGATTCTGCCTCTGGAAGTGTAAGTCGTGAACTTTCTCTGCAACTCAGGTTCAGGACAGAGAACAAGCTGATCTGACAATGAGAACACACACAGGAGCATTGGAACAAGTGGTGGAGTGTGTGGTTGCATTGCCCAAGGGAGGAGCTGGGTGGTACTTGCTGCCTCCACATCCTCTCTTCCACTGTGTATCCTCCAAGCTCTTGACTCAGAGGGTTTCTGGGAGGGAGGCTTCTGAGATGAATCAGCAGTGTGAGAAGCTGATGGGTCAGCTGCACAGAAAGTGCTGTTTCATTTCAGGCAACACCTCACGCCTGAGGCTTTAGGGGATCTGGAACTTCATGAACGTCATCCTTGCACCTTCCCAATGATCAGCTGTGGGAGAGGAACATGGCAGGTTGTAAATATTTGTTGAGTTCCCACCAGGGACAAAATACCCTGCCAAGTAATGTTGGAATTATGAAGAAATAGCACAGAGCCAGGCATGATGGAGCATGACTATAATGCCAGCACTTGGGAGGCTGAAAAGATTGCAGAAGGATTGCAAGTTCCAGCCCCAACTGGGCTATCTAGTGAGAGATCAAACAACACCAAACAAGAAAAGAAATATCATCAAAGTAACTTGTTTCTTTCTCAGGACTCAGGGCCTCCTTGGGAGACCAGGTTTGCACACACACGCTCAACACAGAACTTGTGGTGAGGCAGGCCATACCAAATGACAGGGACACGTAGGAAAGGATTAGGAGCTGAGAGGGAGACCGGTGCCTGTGTGCAGATGCCTGAGGATGCGACTTCTTCATGTTTTCTCATTTCTGCTCCTTCTTGGTTCTGTCTCCCCAGAAAGTAGAAGCCTAAATGCTGAGATGCTCAGGACTGGTTTTGATAAGAAGTCAGGGGCTGGGAGGCAAACTTATTTCCCTGTTAATGTGGAGCACGATCGAGCTTCCTCCTTGGTCCTGCGAGGTGCTGAGGTGTGGGAGGGACTGCACACTTGTTTCTCTCTAGTTGATATGGGGGAGGTGCTGCCACTGTCACCCAGGTGGCAGGGGAGTGAAATGAGCTCGTGTCTCACCTTGTAGAGTGGAGCAGATAGAGTTGAATGCCACCAACACCTTCCTGGTCTACACAGAGGAGGACTTAGGTGACCTCTTGAAGATCAAACTCACCTGGGAGCGGACATCTCAGTCCTGGTATAGCCTGTGGAAAGAGCTTCGCAGCTACCTGTCTCAGCCCAGCAACCCCTCCAGGGAGCTGCATATCCGACGCATTCGTGTCAAGTCTGGGGAGACCCAGCGGAAGTGAGTGCTCTGCCCCTTCTGCCCTGTGCTATAGTGGGTGGAAGGCTGTCTTTGCTTCATTCTTTACTTTACTCTGCAATGCATCCACAACCCTTCCTGACCAGATCACACCAGTAAAACCTTAAACACCTTTGCAGGGAACAGGCCTCTCAGATCAAGGTTTCTGTCAATTGCTGTCAATCTTATGCCCTGATCACCGGCCCTTGGTTGGGCAAGGGGCAGGGCTGGAATTCAGCTCTTGATCTATTTGCCAAGCCCTTTTGGGGGCCTTCCCTGGGCTAGGCTTCTCAGAGTGCTGCCTGGTTGACCTGTTCACTGTGGGCAAAATGGAGCTTCCCACCCTGTACATGAGAGCTGTGAGAAGACCCCCTCTTCCCTAGGTCTCTGTTTTCAGTGTTATTGTGTCTTTCCTTCACTGGCTGAGTCAGACATGCAGGGATGGGGTCCTAACTTCAAGTAACAGAGAGCCCTCTGTGTCAAGCCAGCTGGCAGCCTCCCCATTTCTCTGAACCCAAAGCTTATATATCAGCTCTTGATACTGTGCCCTGACTCTGGGAGCAGGCTTCTGTCTAAATAGAAGGCAAGGAGGGCTCAGAGCCAGCAAAGCCTGGGAGACCTTTGTTAAGAGAGGAGGGTTTTCTTAACCAATTCCTTCCCCTGACCTCTGGAGTGGTCACTGCCAGCCCTATTGGCCCTCTTGTGACATTTTCTCCATTACTGTTCTTTACATGTCTTGTTTATATCTGTGACCCAGCTTGGCAGCAGAGGGAGTGAATCGGAGCTGTAGATCCCTCCTCTGAGCCATTCTGGTCTAGAAACCTATGAATTTGGGGATCTTGTGATGGGGGAGCTGTTAGCACCAAACCTGGGATCTATATAATTGTGTGTCTTTTTCACTTCTCTGGGCTTATGTTAAGTACAGTCCTATGCCTATGGGTGTGGCAACAGAAACATGATCATTTTTATCAAGTATTTCAGGTATAATTAACACTCATTAGATCACTGTTGGGACTTAACAAATATAAGCAGCTTTCTATATTGGTTTCAGAAGTAAGATTTTATAAGTAAAACATAGATACAATTGGAGCCCTGCCCTAACTAATTGACTAACTAATGGTAATATTTCTTTTCTTCATGATTTTTTTTTTGAGACAGGTTCTTAATATATAACTCAAGCTAGCTTTGAACTCCTGTCTTAGCCTGCCAAGTGCTGGGATTACAGGCATGAACCACCACACCTAGCCTTCTTTCATGTTTTTATGTTATTAGTACTTTTTTTTTTTTTCAGAAGTATTGGAGTTTTGAACCTAGAACTTCCCTCTTGCAAGGCAAGCACCTTACCACTTGAGTCATGCCTCCAGCCCCTAGTACTTTTGTTTTTATCCATAAACAATTTGTAGAATTATTTTGGTTGCTTCTGAATATTTGTGATTGGACATATAATTTTACAAGTTTTTTTTAATTCAAATATTGTGAAATTTATCCAATACATGTTGCTCTGGTCTATTCCTGTTTAACTCCTATATGTAAACTGCAGAATATTTAAGTTGTTGCTCCTTTTTTTTATAGTTACAAATTGTGCTAAGGTGAACATTTTTGTACATGTTCCTTGCACATGTGTGTGAGGGCTTCTTTGTGGCATATATTCTAAGATGTGGAATTGCTGGGCTAGGAGACATGCATTCTCCATTCTGACCAGATACTATTGAATCCCTCTCCAAAGTGGTTGGACTAGTTTTCGATCTTGGCCATAGATCTCTTCCTCCTCTTCCTCACCACCATTTGGTGGGAGGTCCTTGCCGTTCTGTTAGATGTGACTGAGTCCCCTACTGCTGTATGAATTTGCATTTCCAGTTTGTGAGTGAGGTGGGTTGGCTCTAAAGTCCTTAGGACTTCCTGGGAAAGGTTCTTAAATGGTTCTGAATGTGGTTTTTGTCCTGTTTCAGCAATGGGCTCTAGTGTCACACACATTGTTGACCTTGCAGTGTGTGTTACAAGGCCGTATGGGGCAGTCACAAGCTATTGTGAAATCAGGTCCTTAATTCTTTCTTGTGATCTTGGCTGCCCTTTTGCTACATCTTTGGTTGTGAATGGCAGCTGAGTTTGCTCTCGTCAGTGGATATGTGTGGAGCACAGACTAACAGCCACCTTGAGTGCCTTCATTCAATGAGCTTACAGTCTAGTGGAGATGTTGATCACAGATCTAAGAACCCAGTTCAAGAGATGTGTAGACTATTGTAAAATAAAACAAGACATTTATTTTTTAACTTCATGGCATAACTAAATAACAGTGATGAAAGCAACATTTTTATAAGGATATGCCTTTGCACAAAGTAGAAGGTGCAGGGATGGCTGGGTTCATGGGGACTGGACAGGCAAGGAGGCTTCCCATCGGCCATGGCCTTAAGAGGCAGGTCGCCTCCTGGGAACACAGGAGAGAAGGGGAGAGAAGTGTGATTAAGGTTGCATGAGGCTGAATTATAGAAGTCTTCAAAGCAAGACATAGTTTGGAGTCCAGAGAGATGGGTAGTTCTGTATGCTCTGGTGTTGAGCGTGGCATGATGAAAACATTCCTTTCCCCCTTCCGTCTGCCTGGAATCCAGAAGACACTGTCTGGATCCCACTACAGTTTTGGCTACATCCCCCTTTTCTTTTGCCTTTTAGATTGACATTTTGTGCAGAAGACCCCGAGAACACCAGCATCTCCCCTGGCCAAGAGCTCTGGTTTCACAAGTGTCGCGAAGGCTGGAGAATGAAAAACGAAACCAGGTACCCAGGACTTTCTCTGTCCACTCACATGTGCTCGCTGTGGACCTGTGCACTTGGGATGCAGCATGAACACAACCGATAAAATGTTCTTCCTTTATGAAGCCTGCCTTCTGCTGGAAGAAGATAGACAAATGCATAAGTGAAAATATTGGGTGTCGGGGGTTGGATGTCACCTCTGCCCCTCGTTCTGCTTCACCCTCTAGGGTCTCAGTGAACACAATCCTACTGGAATGGGGTTCTTTTGGTCACTGAATCCCCAGGGTTGGTGTCAATGCCCATCACCTTAGATTGACATCTCCTTTGTAGTGACCAGGGCTGTGGGAGGGTCCAGTCTTCCTAGCTTCCTCCTGGACACTGGGTTGGCATGGGGAGTGGAGTAGAAAGGTGAGGAGAAGCACAAGCATTGCCCTTTTTAGGTTTTCTGGAACCTAGGTTGGTATGAGTGGATGGAAGTTTGTGAACCTGATTCTTCCCTTCTGTGAAACAGGGATGCTCACACGTGAGGAGCAGGGTCAGATAGAAAGGCTGTCTGCTTCAGTATACCTCGGCTCTGTGCTGGAATCGCACAATTTCAGAGGGAGGAAGACCCATGCTGTGGAGGGAGGTGGTGGGTTTCTCCCCAGGAACCTGCCATGTGTCCTCCATGGGGGCGGAGACCATCTCTCCCACTCCTGCCCCTTGCCTGCAGCAGGGTCCTGCAAACAATCACCAGTATCAGCCTGCGCCTACCCTGCGCCCAGCAACTTATGTAGTCATTTTCTTTTTAAATTTTTATTTTATTCACATGTGTTTTTTGGCCATTTGAATTTCTTCTTTGGAGAAAGTTCTGTTTAGTTCATTTGCCCATTTCTTTATTGGTTCATTAGTTTTGGGAGAATTTAGTTTTTTAAGTTCCCTATATATTCTGGTTATCAGTCCTTTGTCTGATGTGTAGCTGGCAAATATTTTCTCCCACTCTGTGGGTGTTCTCTTCAGTTTAGAGACCATTTCTTTTGATGAACAGAAGCTTTTTAGTTTTATGAGGTCCCATTTATCTATGCTATCTCTTTGTTGCTGTGCTGCTGGGGTTCCATTGAGCAAGTTCTTGCCTATACCTATTAATTCCAGAGTATTTCCTACTCTTTCCTGTACCAACTTTAGAGTTTGGGGTCTGATATTAAAATCCTTGATCCATTTTGAGTTAATATTGGTATAGGGTGATAAACATGGATCTAGTTTCAGTTTTTTTTACAAGCTTTCCGTTCCTGGTTGTTGGGCGCATGGCGCCACTCCTGCCTTCTCTGGCCCGACTTGTTGTGAGGGATTGCCCCTCCTCCCTCTTCGGTGCTCAGGGTGCCCCGCCCTCTTTGCTACGTGTCTTTTTTGTTGTTATTGCTTATTATTCAATTTTTTTTCTTTTTTCCCTGGGTGGGGGTCTGTCTGTCCAGGGGGCTATGCTGATCTGGCCCAGGGTTGTCTGTGGGAGTTCCACGTGCCACTTAGCTCACCTTGTGGTCTGCGTCTTCCCAAGCAGTCTGGGCGCTGCCGTCTGGTGGCGCGGGAGCCCTCCTGGTTTCTCCATTTAACGTGAAGTGGGGATGCGATGCGTGGGCTGGGGGTGTGGAGGGGTGAAAGTTTTGCCTCTTCTTGGTGGTTTTTCCTATAAGGTGTGTCTGCAGCGTCTCTCCAAGATTTTACTTTAGGAGGCACGCTTTCTAATTCTTCCTTCCAGCCACCATCTTGGAATCTCCCAATCATTTACTTTTATGGTCAACCTCTGGAGGCAGATGTTGTGCCTGTGTACAAATGAGGAAATGGAGGCTTGGGAAGATGAAGCCCCAAGATCCCCTGGCTAGTGATGGCAGAGCGAGGATTTGAAACAGGTTGTTTTATTCTAAAGCCTTCTCATTTGAGCACAGACATTCCACTTGCTCAGATAAATAACCTCACCTGTGTCTGGGTACCAATTTTTCAAGCAGCTGTGCCCATGCTCAGGGGTCCCCTGTGATTAACTGTCTGCTAACCCTGAGGGCGGGGTTGCACCCCAGCTGCTCTGTCTCCTGTTTAGGAGCCTCAACAGACCTCAAGCTCAGTGATCACAGGACTTGGGGAGTCTGAAGCCTACCCATCTCATTAAGGAACTCAGACTAGTGCAGGCTCAAATGGTGCCCCCTGCCCCCTGCCCCATCATCATAATTTTAATTCTTTTTGTGTTCAAATTTATACCTTTCAAAGTGCTTCTGTATATAGTAACATCATTGATTCTCCAAACAGCCATGTATATTGGACACACCCAGGAAAGATTGCTATTCTTATAAGGGATAAAATATTTTATTGTATTTGGCTCCAGAACTTCCTAATAGTGGAGAACTATATAATTTGGCTCATGTTACTTCTTGTTCAGAAAACAAGTCACCCCTTCCTTTTCTCCTAAAGGCACAGAAAACGATAGGGGTCCAAGTAATAAATGAACACTAGGAAGCTATGGCAACTCTAGATGGATGGAATGCCATTAGTACTCTCCCTCCTGATGTGGATACTGCCCACCTGCTCCCTGATAAGGAGACTAAGGTTCAGAGAGGTTCCATAGCACCTTTGTGTAGTGGAGACTAGAATCCAGGTCTCTTGACTCCATCTTGCCCTCTTCCTGTGGGGTATGTCTCAGAGTGAAACTGTGGCTTGTTGGGTGTTGAAAAGAAAGAAGCTCCCGAGATTTTTCCATTGCTTCTGAAAAGAAAGTGAATAACATAGCCCCATGGGTATGTCAGAAAGCTTGACCTTAATGGCGACAAAGTGCACCTTGATACAGGTTTGCCTGTGTGCTGGTGAGCAAGCTAACTAACACTGTATTCTCACACGGTTTCTTTTAGTCCCACTGTGGAGCTGGCCTGAGGGGGCCAGGAAGTCCTGCAGCATGCACTCCAATCCTGCTGTCCACGCACATGGAGGAAAGTTACTGCTGAGACCCACCCGATGAAAGACCCCTCTTGGTCCTGACCCTGGAGCCCCAGGAAGAGCTTGCTGACTGGGCACCCCTTTATCCCCTATGGCAACTACAACTGTAACTTCTCAGGAAGGGACTGTCATTGCTGAAGCTCCAGTTGCCACTTTGGACCACTCTAACTCCAACCTTGGTTGACACCTCCAGATTTGTGTGTGTGTGCCAGAAGGCAGGGCATCCATGCACACTGGGTGGATCTCTCCCTTTCTGGGGATCCTGATCCTTGCCTGGAAGTGGACACTGGCTCTGAAGTGGCTCTGTGTGGGAGATGGGCAGTGGCTCAGCTTTACTTGTGTCTCAGTGACAGATCTTTCCCTTGGGAGGTGACTCATATCACCATGGCAGACCTGCTATCTTCGTGGCCCAGAGTGGGGACAGTAGATTGGTCTGGTATGGAATGCCTGCTGTGGGGGTTCCCATGGGATGCATTGGTCAATACTTGCTATATATTAGACATTCTGTCCTGCTCCCCAGCTCACCCTTGGAAGCACACCTCATTGGCTTTTCCCTTTTTCCACTGTTCATACTTTGACTGAACAAGTGTTTGTTGAGCACTTAAATTAATTAGCATGTGGCAGTAGATACATTAGTCATCCTTTGCATTTGGAACCTAGTGGCACTGGAGTTACTAGAATCCCTTCCAGTTTAGTGGTCCATGAGTATTCATACGTGTGGTGAAAGTCAGGAGGGGCACAGAGGAGGGTCACAAGATAGAGTTGGAAACCCTGAGGTTTTAAGTGATTCCTACCTATTTCTTCTTAGTTGACATGTGTTGTTTCTTCCACGAGTGACATATTTGATCACTAGCAGAATAGCAAGCAGAATGTCATACATCTTGGGGCCACAGTGGCCCCATCCTGGGACTAATTGCTAAAGATGATTGCTTTGAAGCAAAATCTCTTCTGTTTAGGGAACTAGAAGATATCACATGTGTTCTACACACCTGCTCATTAGAAACTAGTGCCTGTCAACAGAGCTGGCTCTAAGATTTGTTAGTGTCTTTCCTCCTTGAAATATCTTGCCTTCCTGCCAGTGCCTTTTCTGTATGGAACTTCTTGGAGAAGCCTCCAATTCTAGATGTTGATTTGAATTGGGAAACGTGGTATCTGAGACACTCATACTTTTCAGAGAGTTTGCATGTGCATCGCCTGGTTAGAGTGAGGTGAGCAAGGCAGCTGTTATTGTCCTTACTTCATAAAATTGAGGGTTATGATATTCAGCCACATGCTTACGATTACATACCAAGTTGGTGCTGGGGAGAAGCCGAGGACCCAGAGTTCCTAGAGGCAAAGTTCATGAAACGCCTCTCAGAAACTTCATGAAGATGTCTATAGCCATTCCCTACCAATTTGCCCCAGATGTGATAAGCAAGAAATTTTTTTCAGCGCGATCCACAAAATCCTGAAGCCTTTTGTTAATGTATAACCAAGAGATTACCTGTGCCTCCAGGTTGGGGTTTATTTTTATTTTTATTTTTATGACTGAGATTTATTTGGGAGAAGTATGGTATCAGGTATATATGTGTGTACCTGGGTTTTTAAAGAACATTGTTTGAGCCTGTATTGTGCCAAAGTTGTATTACTGTTTAATGCCAAACTTCTGAAGACATAACAAGTCGGGTCTTAATTCGAAGTGTGCTCTCCATCCGTTTGTGCGCTTCTGTGATGCTTGCCAGCCAAAGCAAAGCTTGTGTTATTGGCTATACATCCTGGTTACTTCTGACTTCTGTTTTTAGTGATGGAAGTTTTAGGAACTGAATCCTCCCTCAGTGGGTTATGTATTTATCCTTTTGGCTTGAAGCCTTACTTGTACATAATGATGCTTTTTTTTAATGCCACTTAGAGCACTATTTATTTCTCAAGTGTATATAATGTATAAAGACAAATATATGGCTAGTTTTTTCTTTAAGATTAACCGTTTTCAAGATTTAAAAAAATGTAATGGTAAAATAATAAAAAACCCACAAAATTCTTAATGGTCTGGCAATTCACTTCTTAAATTTTGGCTTGGCTGCCCAAGGCTTATATTTGACAAAAATGACTTGAATGTAAGCTGTATTCTCTGTTTAATCTTTCTTGGACAGCGACTCCTTTTACTAAGGAATAAGAAGAAAAGTTATTTGTTTCTTGGCAGTGGTGGGGATTAAACCCAGGGCCTTGTACATGGTAGGTAAGGGCTCTACCACTGAACCACACCCAACCCCAAGAAAAGTTATTTGGATTGAGGTAGGAAGGTTGGTGGATGTTTGGAAGAACAGGAAGGTGGCTGGATATCAGGAGACATTAGTGAGCATTTAGGTTTGATTGTATGGGGCCTGATAACTGTGACTTAAACTGTCTGAAGCTGATTTCTCTATTACTTGAGGTTCTGTTCTACAGGACCAAAAGGAGCCACCCACAGGGTGACCTACTAGGTCTCTTTCCAGCCAGTGGGAAGGTGGGAAAGGAAAGAGGTGGATGGTCCCTCTTATGGGGTTGGCTGAGAAGTTGCCCACATTCTACTGGCCAGAAATCAGTCACATGCTGGGTTTTGAGAAAGGGAAAATGGATATTGCCATCTGTTTAGCAGGAATAATTTTTATCCCCTGGAAGTAGAGGGTATAGAATAAGGAACCTTATAAATGATTTGATCCTGTGGTCAATTTTTAGTAATCTTAAATTGATCTATCACTAGAAAGTCAGATGGGTTGCACAAATTGGAGTTTATTTCTAGTATTAAATGTCAAAACATTTATATTTTAACATTTAAAATGCCAACAGTTAATTACAAGTGGCTTTGCGTACATGCCAACAATACAAAGTGCATTAGGACTATTTCAAAACCAAAGGGAATTGATGAGACCAATGTGTGTTTTCTGTTTTCCATTCCTGTGCCTTTAGGCATGGTGTATGCCTGTAATCCCAGCTACTCAAAAAGTGAAGACTGGAGGATTGTGAATTTGAGGCCAGTCTGGGAAAAAGGTAGTGAGACCCTATCTCAATAACAAAATAAAAACAGGACTGGGGTTTGTTGCTCAAGTGGCAGAGTGCTGGTCTAGTAGATTTGAGGCCCTGGATTCAACCCTTGTATAGCAATAAATGCATAAATAAATAATCCCCTACTAGTTGAGTTCCAACACCAAGAGGAGTCACTAAGCTAGTGCCTGTAATGATGATCCATCCGTGTAATCTAGATTTGGCACAGCTCTAAAGCGTTCCCTTTTATTTCTTATTAACCACTGGCATGATTTGGCATAATTGTGTTGGTGCTAGAACAACATGAACATGTTCAAAGAAGGGCTTGAAATTTTTAGGAAATTTTGTTAACAGTTTGATTCAGATGATCAACATTCTTAGAACAGGGCTTATACCCACTGTGCAACCCTTAATGTATTTTAAAATGAGAACAAAGCTCTCTGGAAGGGGCTTTAATAATGGAGAAAAATGGTGCTGTTTATCTCCTCCAAAGATGTTCTACCAGGTTTAATCACAGCAGCACAGATTTGGATTAGACATTATCAGGTATGCTCTTCATTTTTTGAGGGGTTAATACAGGTATCACTTGTCAGAGTAAAGGGCAGAAATAGTGTCTCAGGAAATTTTTGAAATTGCTAAAGGTAGAGGCACTGGGTGACTCCAAAGTGCCTTGTTTGACTTGAGTATTCAGAGCTACCCTTCCCTAATTAGAGCCAGGGAGACCTCCATGGATCTTCCTTGGACTCCCTAGGCAAGCCAAAGACCATACTGCTTGGAAGGATGGATACCATGTAGGAACCAGAACAGTCACTGTTATCCAATGTGGTGTTTCTGTGTTCAGAGCTACCCCAGGTTCTCTGCCATATAAACTCTGTGAGGACAGAGATTTTAGTCTGGCTTGTGTCCATCCTGATATTGCCCTAGATCCTAAAATACTGTCTGGAACAGAGTAGGTGTTCAATGACTACGTAAATGAACAGAAGAAATTAGGTACAAGAAACCAGCTGCTTAAACAGGCAGAGGGGAGTGGGGTAAAAAGCAGTTAGTTTAGAGTCATTAAATCCTGGTAGGTCATTCAGTATTGTGTAAGCTTTAGACTACATTTATAGTATAAGATTATATTTAATCTTGCTACCCCAGGTTCTCTGCCATAACTCTGTGAGGACAGAGATTTTTAGTCTGGCTTGTGTCCATCCTGATATTGCCCTAGATCCAAAATACTGTCTGGAACAGAGAGTGTTCAATGACTACGTAATGAACAGAAGAAATTAGGTACAAGAAACCAGCTGCTTAAACAGGCAGAGGGGAGTGGGGTAAAAAGCAGTTAGTTTAGAGTCATTAAATCCTGGTAGGTCATTCAGTATTGTGTAAGCTTTAGACTACATTTATAGTATAAGATTATATTTAATCTTTCTGAGTCTGCCTGCATACTTAAGAAACAGACAGTACCCTCAAGGCTGTTGTGAATATTAAATGAATGTGATATAAAAAACCATTAGTGTTTGGTAAACATTTGAATTGGAGAAAAGACAGTGAGATAAAGATAAAATAAAAATAAACTCCTGGATTGGCAGAGTGGCTCAAAGGTAATATGAGCACCTGCCTAGCAAGCATGAGGTCCAGTTCAAACCCCTGGCCACCAAAAAAAAAAAATAATAATAATAATAACTCCTTTCCAGGTTGATGTAGAAATTATATATATGATAAAAAAGGGGTCTATTAAATAATCATTGGGAAAAAAATGGATGGTTACATGGATGACCATGGAAATGGAGCCTCATCTAATAAGGGAAAACACAAAATTTGATGTCTGTTTTACACCATATACAAAGATGGATTCCACTGGAATGAAAGGCACAGATGTGAAAGAAAAATCATAAATCTAATAAATGTTACAAAATAGAAATTGAAACTCCATAACTGAAAAATAAAATTTCACAATTAAGGCATAAAAAATATATAATTTGAATATGTCAACACATATTGAAGAAATGGAAATGCTAATACAAGACTTTGCTTGATTTGCACATTCAAAAAACTCCCTACTTATAGAGGTTTTACTGGGAAATACTACCAAGATTTCAAGGAATGTATAATCCCTAATGTATATAAGCAGTTCCAGGTAGTAGAGAAAGCTTTCCAAATCTTCTCAACCCATTTATGAGGAAAATTATAGACCAAATTTTCTTGTGAACATAGACGTGAAAGTTCAAGATAGTAGATACTCTTGTGGGGTACACTGTGTCCTCTTCTAATTTGTAAATTGAAGCCCTGTATTTGGAAATAGGGCTTTAGAAGAGGAATTGGCAATGAGGCAATAGTGTGTGGCTCAGCGGTAGAGCCCTTA